GCGGCTTTCAGTTAAGAGGGAACAAAAAGGGAAGTCTCCAACCTTCATGGCTTCAGAGAAAAGCGCATTAACAAGATCCCTAAAGGCTCAAACGCAAGGCGGCAAAATCATTCACATACTTAACTTTCTTTTAAACATCTCATGATTTTTTTTTACCCTGATTTCGTGACTTTTTTTATGGCCCAACTCATCCTTTTGGACTGTATGAGGCTAGCAGGTGAGGCTGCGTCACGTGGCTGATTTCTCAATCTCCCCAAACCTTCTTTTCATCCCTAAGCGCTGTAACTTTATAGTGCTATAAAAAGGGCTCTAAATTACAGCGCTGTAAAATGTGCATGGAGCACTTCTGTACACACCCTTAGAGCTTAAATTCACTGGTACAAGATGGCTCTCAGCAATGGTTAATTAAGGCTTAACACACCTGGGACCAATCTCTTCCTAAGCATTTTACTATGCCGCAGATTTCCCTCATCGTCCACAAAGCAGGCTGATACGGGAGCAAGGGAGATGTCTTGTTCTTTCTTGACATGCACTCCTAAGGACTTATATTTTCATCTGGTCCCCAGGGTGAGTGCCACTGAAAACCGAGGACTCCTTATAAGCTGGTGGAGGATCAGATAGACGGCCCATGGAGGTCGGTCATTTAGATCACTGTCTTTTCCCAGGGCTTTGCAACGCGACTGCACGGACAACCCCGGAGTCACCGGCGGGGGCTGGAATAAAGGAGAAGGAGTCATTTGCTTGTGGGATGTGCATCCCCTAGTTGGCTTTACGCTGCTGTGGGGCGAAGTGTCGGCATAGCCCCTGCTGCAGAATTTACCCTTCCCCCTTGCCTGCGGCCATGGGAATCGGCCGCACGCAGTGATGCAGGGGCTTCGTGGCAGTAGTGGCTGCAGGACAGGAGAGGGGGGCTGTGAGAGGACCCGCATACCTAGTGCTAACACCTGGATGACCAATGTCTTCCCCTGCAGCTGCAACTCTGATTGCAGTGGCACGGCTTCTCGCTGTGGATGCTGGATCTCTGGCAGCCCTGCTGGCACCGCGGGTGGTGCCCGCTGCGGCCAGAGCAGGGGATATGGCCTACCAGCCCATTTGAGTCTGACACCCCTGCTGTAGGCAGCCAACTAAAAAAAGACAGTTTTCCACAGAATTTTTGGAAACTTGAGGTCTTACTTGGGCATCTGTATTTTTGCTGTTGCAAAGCTGTTTTCTATAACAAGCAGGCATGTTGCTGAACAGTCCTCCTTGCATCTGATGTGGTAAAGAGAAGAGCACGCACAAGTCCCAAACTCCCGTAGACTCTGACCACGGAGGTCACTGCCTGTTTTGTCCGCCGGTCAGAGCCTGCTGAGTTGCTAAGAAGTGCTTTCCGCTAATTCGGATCCTCTCCCTGAAGTGGGTTTCAGGGGACGTCTGAGGATTATCTTTTTTTCCTCCCCGTGTGCCAGCTGGGTGCTGGGCTGCAGCGTGAATAGACGGGATACCATCAGCCTAGCAGGTGGGAGCCCTGTGCTGCGATTCGTTATTACAGGGCTCCAGGGATCAAAGTGTTTGTAGCCATCTGTGTAGTTCCTCCGTCGTAATTCATATCCTGGCTTTTATTTCTGAGTATTCAGTGCTTTTTGGAAACATCTGTTTTAGGTAATACACCCCGTCACACACACACCCCCGATCAGTATATTAGATTTTCTGGACTCCGTTCAGACTCCTTTAGCGATTGTCTTCGTTTTCGGTCGCGAAGCAGGACAGGCCTCGTAAGTGCTACGTGTTCGACGGCTTGGCAACCAAACGTGCAGATCTGGGTTCAGCCTACAGTTACGTGACAATGGGGAGGAAACACGGTGAAGTGAATAATGCAAGGAAACGGAAGGTAAGAGAGCTGGGTCTCATTCCTGGCTCTACGCAAGGTCCCACCTTGAGTCTGTAGCAGGTCTTTTGCCTCCACGGCCCCCAGGTACGAGACATGGAGGAGACTTGTCTCATAAAAAGTCCCCTGGGATTGCCAGATAGAAGGGGCTGCAAAAGTGCAAGGGATGTATTGGAAATTTTGAGCAATCCTACAAGATACTCAGTGATGTCAACTGCCATTTGATGTTAACTTCGGCATCGGCGCCTTTCCTCCTGCAATGGGATATCCGTGGGTTTCCGAGTCATCCCCTGTGGTTCCAGCTGCAGGATCTGAGCTTTGATTTGGAGACTCAGCCCCCTGGTTCAGGAGAGCTCAGGGCTGCCAAGGTAAGGGGAGGTTATCCAGAAAGCAGATCCAACCCAGGACTCTCCTGGCTGAAGCAGCGGTGCATTTTCGCAGCCAACGTCAGCGGCGTTTCACAGGGGTTGTCCAACACGCCTGCTTTCCTGGGGATAGAGGGAAAGCTAAGCGAAAAACTGGATGGAACGGGAGGAATGAAAAATCCCAGCGTGGTAAATCGAAAGGACGGGAGGAATTTCAGGGGGAGCATGCACCTCGTACACATCCCGGCTGGCTTTGTTGGGGCAACCATAGGTGCATTTCCGTATGGAAAAGCATATATTTTTAGTGAGGGCATTGCCCTGTGTGTGTGTGCATGTAATAAAATATGCAGGGGTGAACACAGTTGTGCCCCCAGTGCTGTAATGCACATCATCGATAAAGATAGTACAGATCGCTGTGGAGGAAATACAAGCAAGGTCAGGACACCCATAAATGCTTGCCAAAGACAGCATTCGCACGAAGCTGTAATGGAGCAGGGCTGCGTTTGGAGAAGGGAAAGGGACTTCGGACCGAAGGGCAATGCAACATGATTCCCACTCTTGATTTTGTTGGGCTTAGTACAGGTCTCTGGAGGAGCCCCAGGTGCCCAGGAAATACCTGGATCCCTTTGCAGCCTACTAGATTATTCGGAATAACTCAAGGTGTAAAAGGCTGCAGCTTTATTGCGAACATGAATGGGTTAGCATAAGGAACATCACTTTCATGCATAATATATCTGCTCAAACAGGGAACAGTTCTGCATGGGTAACTTTAGAAGGAGATTGCTCTGCCTGATGGTTTTGGATCCAATTGTGTGATGTTTCATTAAGAAATTCCCCTGACGTTTTTCTTTTAAAATAACACATTTTGTTTGGTGGTGGTGGTGGTGGGGGTGTTTAATTGAATACAATTTTAGGGACCATTGTCTTGCAAGGCTCCACCTGCCACTTGGAAAAGCCCTTGAAAATGATATTATGGATCAAATTTGTCCCCGATGTAACTCTCTTTAATCAACCAAGTTAATCCAGGAATGAGTTTGGCCCTGTGTCTCCAAATGAGAAGCAGTAGCTATATAATCTGTTTATGGTTTTAAATTGAATGTTAATCTTGGATTTGGTGGCTTTTCCCAAGGGCTGATTTGCTGTGCTGCAAAGCATTTAGCTCCGTCCCTGACATTGTCAGAGTTGGTTTCGTTTCCCCCTTCTTTCTTTCTTTTTTTCATTTAAAGAGATATCTAACCATTTGAGAGCAATAATGCTATAATTGGAGTTTTTGAGCAGTTGTGTTCAGACTCACTCTGCCCTTTTATATCATGATTGCTTGGATCATGTGCTGGTTGAGGCAGGGCCCCTCATTTGTTTTGGCTTTCACGGGGAAAACGGGCTTCTAGTTCATAATGGGTTGGCAGGTGCTACCACAATTCAGATACCGAAGAGCGTGTTTCTGACCAAAGCCTAGGAAACTTGGAGCCCTCGTTATGGCTTCCCAGGTGTTCTTGCAATGGGAATACAATAAGCGATCAGCTTCTCGATTTGCTCCTGGAAGGATGCTTTTAGAAACTCTTTCCTCCCATCACTCAGTATTTCCTATTGTCGCCTCTTCCAGTGCAGCACTGGCCTCCGCTCTTTGTAGCTGTAATTCCCGTGAATCTCTACTGCAGAGGAGAGATTTATTAAAAAAGAATAGTATGGTCTTCAGGAAACAAGCACGATGACTTGAAACCCAGAAGTAAAAGGGAGGAAGGCAACATGTCATCCAAATGCCGGTGACACCGGTCCTTTTTTATTTCCTGTTCTGAATGACCGCAGCGAGTAGCGGTCTCTTGATGGCAAATCCAGGCGAATGCATTGGATTCACATATTTGACGCAGGTTTCAAATCACCTTCTGAAGCTCCCTCTGCAGATAATGGTGCTCATTTCCATAAGTGCCTCATAAATAGGGCCACTTAGTCACTGTAAAATGTTAATACACCTGCGAACTTAGAGAAATGCAGACGCGACTGGGGCTCTGCTTTTCCTCCCTGCCTAGCCTAGCAAGGGGAGAGTATGCACGGCTCCATGCTATTCAGGTACCAGGTATATTTCTTTGCTTAATGAGGTGTTTGCAAAGTTTTGGCAGAACCAACTGCCTTTCCAGCATCATTTCACTCCTGCTTGGTATCTTAGATCATCACCTCCTTATGTTCCCCATTTAATGAAGCTAGGATAAAATGTGGCATTCATTTAGTAGATGCGGTGCTCTCTCCTTCGTTGGATTTGATGACAGATCCAACAGGTAATTAATAGCTAATCGGACTCGACCAACTTTAGAGATTTGACACAGCTCTGTGACCATGCTCTTGGCTGAGCCGGAGATGATGTTCTCAATGTGTGCTGTCAAGACCAAGGGTTAAAATTCAGCCACTTTTTAAGAGTGTTTGGAGCTGCTTTCCCAGGGTTTAAGTGTCAGCCCAGCAGGTTTTGAATGGGGAGTTTGATGAAAACATTTATAAACTGGTTATTGAAACATGCCGTTTGCTGAGCTAGCCACACACCCATGCGCCATAACGGTTCCCAGATGGTTTTTGGATCTACTTCCAGGATCAGCTATTTCAGGGAAGCCCGAGGTTTTTCCACCAAAAAAAAAAAAAAAAAAGGAAAAAAAAGAAATCGGTGCTTTTGACCAAAGGATCCCTTTATAGGCCAAAACGCCCTTCTGTTTGGCTCAGAGGGGTCCTGCTGGCTCTTCATGAGACTGTCCAACACGTGTCTCTCTCTTTCCTGTTCCCAGGTTAAATGATGCTGCCGTGTTGCTGAAGGCCTTTCCTTCGCTGGCGCCGGCGTGGGACTGCTGCGAGCCTGGCCTCTCCGTGGTTGTGTGGCTCTTCTGCTGAGGCCTCCTGCATGCTCCTCCGTTGCATGCTGGATCGCTGGGCGGTGGTTTCAAAGGATGCCCACGTAATTTCTGGACGCCGAAGCCGGCGGGCGGTGCTGCATTCCCTGCCGCCGTTGCCGCCACCGCCTCTGCTGGGATCGATCATCTCCTATTCTTTGTGTTGTCTCTCGAATAGTTTTCAAAGGGTCAAACATTTTCCAAAAACAGCTCTCCAAAATGACAAGCCTGTTCCGGAGGAGCAGCAGCAATGGCAGCTCGAGGAACAGCTCTTCTGCTCAGGAGCTCAATAACAGCCGGCCCAGCCGGCAGGTGCGGCGGCTGGAGTTCAACCAAGCCATGGAGGACTTCAAGACGATGTTCCCCAACATGGATTATGACATCATTGAATGTGTCCTGAGGGCCAACAACGGGGCCGTGGATGCCACCATTGACCAGCTCTTGCAGATGAACTTGGACGGCGGTGGCTATGACGACAGCTCGGACTCCGATGACAGTATCCCCCCCGAGGTAACATCCATTACCCATCCCATCCCCTTGCCCAGAGTCGCTGTTAATTGGCATCCAGAAAAAAGATGGGCGTTTTACCTGGTGTCTATAGGAAGGGGCTGTGCGGTCAGAGTCCGGGCTTCTGCATTGATGTTTTCCTGGGTGATTTTTAGGGGGCCTCCTCATGCCTTAATTTCCTCATCTGCAAAATTGCTTGTAATAATGCACAGAAAAGGGGGAGGAAGGGAGGGCAAACTTCAATACCTAATGCTTTAAAGCGCTTTGAGATCCTTAGAAATTGTCATCGGGCTCTAATTCAGCTGAGTGTTGAGCCCTGTAATGGCAAGAAACAGCACCATAGCCAGACCCGGCCTCGGGGCAGGAGTTAATTGTGTTGTAGGCACTGAAGTTGGAAGAAGCAGGTCCCCCGAGTACGGAAGAGCTTTTTATCCTTCGTTTTCGGCAGTTTTACTAACCAGTCTCGACTTTGCTCCAGTGCTTCCCTTCCCCTCCGTCAGATACGACGCTTATCCTCCTTTCAGCAAAGAGTGTAGCCGTTCTCCAGTCTTGACATGCGTGATGAATGTAGGAATGAAACTGCAAGGACCCGAAATGGAGAATGGGTCAAATAGCTTCTTGCTGACATTTCCTGTGGAAATAATGTAGTGAACGGCACAGCTCATACCCACTGACCCAGAAAGAGACGGGGAGGGTGAAATGAGGCTGAATCTGAAGCTTATGGGAGGGCCGTAGCTTGCTCTTATTGCACGTGTCCAGCCCCCAGGTATGTTAATGCAACTTGTATGCTGTACCTATGAGTCACGGTGTATTATGAGCCACATCCTAGTCCACCTTAGCACCTAAGGGGACTGAGGTACCTACATATAATCCTCTTCCACCCTCCTCCAATCCCTGAAAAACCCTCACGTGCCTACTTTTGTGACACGCCAGGCTTTTGCAAAGGAGGGGCTTTTGCCACCCCGTCACAACTGGGTGGCAGGGACATGTGGCATCCCGGTCTTATTGCGTGCTTCCCTGGGACTTGAGCTGGGTCATGCTGGCTTCCCCATTGAAAACCGTTGCCAACTCCTGGCTTAGGAGGTTGATTAGGATCTGGTCCTATGTACCTTTCTCCGTCTGATCCACGGAGAAGGCAAATCATCAGCAACCGTCTATCTCTCAACCGTGAATGAGGAGCTTCTCATTTTCAGCCATGGAGCTCCCTCTTTCAGTCTCTGGTGGCAGGCAAAATGATGGCCCTTTGCATTTGCACCTCAAGGGTTTCCTTTTTGAGATCCCAGTGCTAGGGCATAGCAAACTACCCCTTGTCTGCTGTTGAGAAAGAGACTGCAGCATCTTCCTTTGCAAATAAAAACAGGACGAAATGCAATTCTGTCTCCCAGCAAGCATTTTCTTTAACCTCCTAGTGGAAAATGGCAACAGCATGGAACAAGAAAGAGGCTGGAAGGAGTGTACCTTTGCTGCATGTCATGTAACCAGGTTGCTTGGATCTCTGGTTTGCAACCGGGGAGAAGAGATACGGGACATGGGGAATAATGGAAGAATTTCAATCTGGCCCAAGAGGTTTGTTGAAGAAAACAGCTAATAAATACAGGCACAAGCAGGCTTCCACATAGCTCTGGTTCCGGCTTTGTCTACTTTGTTTACCAGGAAACCTGCTCTGTCAGGAACTATGCAGAATACAGAGCCATCTCGTGGCTTAATGGTATAATGGCAGATAAACGTATGGCGCGGCAGGGTGGGAAGCTGCCAGATCTCTGTGGATTAGAACAAAAATACCAGAGGGGAAACCTTGCGTGCAGCATTCGCTCACTGGATTGCACACTTGTTTTGCGAGCAAATAATTTTTGTTTAATTCTTTTGGCATTGCAAAATGCAAAGGCACGAGGTCGAACATTTCCCTCGCTACTCGCAAAGGAGCTATTTTTAGGTTGCTCTCTTTTGACGGGGAAACGAGTCAGTCGATGCTGATTTTTGGCCTTTTGTTTCATAAGCACAAAAAATGGGAAAGAAAAGACCTGACGAGAGGCACAGGGAGTCTCCAAAATGAGTATGGGAATAAAGCCGACAAGAGCCGGCTGTACATCACGCTTAGCAAAGTAGGTGGCTGGAAAACCGCTTCAGATTACAAGAGGCTCTTAAACTATTTATGGATTTAAAACATCCTGGCAAGATGAGAGTTTCTAGGGAGAGAGTCATAGCTTCTAGTGTCATGGCAGTGGGATCTCGCAGGTGCAGGGGCCTGACCTCTTCTAACGGGGTCATGTAGACGGAGGGTGCCGTGTTTTGAGCATCTGGGGCCAAAATCCTGGGAGCAGAGACTCCTGCGTGACCTTGGCCATTGGACCTCTTTACCTACTCACGGGGAGCCTTTGGGCAGGTTAATTTATTAGTATTTGTGAAGTGCTTTAAGATCCTATGATGCACAGTGCTGGAAAAGTGAATTGTGGATGGTGGGGGCTAGGTCCATTAGTGATTGATGAAACATGGTAATGAGAGGTGGAGCCTCATTATTGGGAACTCCTAGGCCAGTGATGCTCAACCCCTGGCCCACATCTGGCCTGTGGAGCCGTGTCACCCAGCTCACGGGTCTGGAAATTTGGTGGTGAGACAGTAGCATTAATTGCCGGTCTCCTGGTGCCAAGTCATGGACCCATGGGAAGCCCCACGTTGGTGCGCTAGATCATGCCACCACGTGTTGGGGTTGGGCTGGCATGTGGACATGGGCCGGCCACACCCACAGCTTGACCCTGCCCGTGGGATCTGGCCTGCGGACCGGTCCCCCAACATTTACCTGGTCCCCGGGGCTAGAGAGTAGAGCACCACTGTCCCGGGCTGCTGAGTGCTCGCAGCTGTGGAGGGTGCAGATCAAGGGGCAGATCGGTCGGGACAGGCTCTGCAAGCCCTCCTTGGTGGCCATCAAATGTCTAACAATTGAAAGGCTGGAAGAAAGACTGAAAAAGCAGGAACGGGAGTGCAGATCAGAGCTTTAAAAACTTGGGTTTTGAGCGGGAGATACCGAGCAGAGAATAACAGCTAGCGCCCGTGCCTCTTGGATGTATCCGAGAGCCCGTGGACACCACCCATGAAATCCTGGAGATGTGCAGAGATGAGCGAAAGGAAGGCAGCACCACAGTCACCCAGCTTCCCATCCCCATGAGAGCTTTTCTTCCTGGTCTGGAAGATGGATCACTTGGCCAGGGCTAGGAAGAGGTTGAAACTGGGCTAGACGGGCCTGTGGTCTGACTCGGTCTGGCATCTCTTATGTTCTTATGACTACTTATTTTCTGGACCTCCCCCTCCTACGTGTCCCCGTGCTACACATCTGTGTGACGGTGCCTGTGGCTCTGTGACTAAGGCTGTGGTTGAATATGTTGGTCATAGTTTCTAGAGTCGGAAACTATGGTCATGAAAAGGAAGTTCTGCTCCTCCTGTTCCTATGCTTAGTCAATGTAGTCCAGCTGTGAGCAGCTGAGTGTGTCCTGAAAGAGAAGCATCGGCCACGAGCATCAGAGGTGGAGGATCCATGTGCCTTCCCCCCCTCCCTCTCAAACCATTTGTGCGTATGAGCTCAGCTCGTTGTTTAAAACCAATGTTTCCCCAGGGGAGCGACGTATTGGCAGTCGCCCAGCTGCGGTGCTTATTAGGAAACACCCGAACTTTAGCAGCCAGTAGCTCAGGTGAATAGGTCTCTTGACCACAAGTGCACGGCTCTGGCAGCACTTGTGTGCAGCGTGTGACCTCAGCAGCTTCTGCGGAAACGCTCTGCAAAGTGTTTGTTCTCCGCGCGGAGTTGGCAGCGCTGAGTTACTCTCCACAAGCTGTTGTCAAGTGCGTGCGAGGGCAGCCAGGTATGCAGTGCTCTGGGATCAGTCGCATGGGAGGCCAGGCGGTCAAAAAAAATGCAGGAAGTTCAGGGAGAGGTGATGGCTGGATGAGAGCAGGCAGGCAAACACCTCGAGTGTGTGGCTGGTGAAAGTATGAAGCCTGAGGGGTTTGTTTTAAACAGCACTTGAGGCCTGATCTGAAGCCCCCACTGACCCCCCACATGCCCTTCCTGAGGTCTGCACGTGGAGGACATGGTAGTAAAGCAACCTGAAGTACCTTAGCTGCCTGGGGCATCTCATAATTACTTAATGTCCGGCTAGAGATGCAGCGAGCCAAGATCGAATTTGAAGACCGTCACCCGAAGTGTTGCCTTTTGGAGGAGACTGAGAAGTGGGTCCTCACCCAGTCTTGACCATTCCCAACACTTCATCCAGGGCCTCTCCCGGGGGTAGGTGGCGCAGCCGTGTTCTCCATTTGAGAGTTGGTTCAGCGCCCCACAGCAGTCTGCACAGCTCAAGACTGTCCCAAAAGCCAGGCCTGGGTAAAGGGAGTGCTTGTGTTTGGAGGGAGCATGCCTGCCTCCACACCAAGTGAAGTGCAGGCCTCCCTCAGCCGTTGATGAAAGGCCGTAAGGAGAGGGAAACTGAGGCAGTACCTGGAGGAGGGCAGCTCACCTGAGGCCATACCCGCGCCTGGTGCCAGCAGGCGAGGAGCACTCTTCCGTAGAAGTCAGTAGGAGCTGAATAGCAGGGAAGGGAGCTCCAGTTACACTAGTTGCACACCCATGTTTGTTCTGGCAGAGGTTTTGTGTCTGCCCTTTTCTCCCCAGGGAGCACAGATGAGGTAGCTGTGTTCAGCTAGCAATTTTCCCCCCTGGTAGTCTGACTTTGTCTCTGAAAACCGCAGGTTTCCTAACCAGCAATTTATGACAAGATCTCCTAGAGCCCCAGCACTGGGACTGGCAGCCCCCAGATTAGCTGGCTTTAAAAAAAAAATAAAATAAAATAAAATGGTGTGATGGGTCCAATTCTGGTTTCACAGTGGTTTCCCCCCACGCCTTCACACGAGTTACCCCTGCCTTATGTCCCAATGCCCAAGCAGGGAGGCACCGTGAGCGGCTGGGCTTTCGCGGCATGTCTTGCCTTTTCCAGGGTGTCTTCTGCCAGCTCACCGCCAGTCTTTCATTTCTTCTTTCTCCCTTTGCACAGATTTTGGAGCGGACTCTGGAACCAGACAGTTCGGATGAAGAGCCCCCTCCCGTGTACTCGCCCCCTGCCTACGACATGCACGTGTTTGACCGGCAGTATCCCCAAGCTCCTCCCACCCCTCCTCCCAGGTAAGCACCACGGGGCTGAGCCCACTTGCCATTAGCCCATTGTCTTGTAGGAAATGAAGCGTCAGGAGGGGAATGCCCGTGCTACCGTGACGAAGAGCCTCTGGCATTGGGGTGCAGCCTGCAGTGCTGGGAGGAGCAAGGTTTTTCCCTCTGTGCATACTTCTTTTTGCAGGCTGGACTGTATGAGCATGCCTGGGAGATCCAGGCGGTGTAGGTGGGTGCAGAGGTATCGGGACACTTGAGGAGGGCTGGGCTGTGCTTGCTGGCGTGTGGCTGAGGATGAAATGCTGTTGGATTGAACCATGGGGTCAGGGATCCCAGTCCAAGGAACTGGAGCGAAGCCGGCTGGGTGGCAGGCTGGTTTCCCTTGGGGCTTGCTGTGCACATGGTTGTCCGAGAGATGTACAAAGTACTGGTCCTGGGAGTTTTTCTTCCGTCTTCCCTAACTTCACCTCTCAGCAGGGATGTGCAAGTGAGCCAAAATTTGGAGCTTGCGTTCAAATCTGAGCACATGAAGCAGGAGTGGCCTGGGTATGAGTTCACCAGACACGAAATGGGAGCTTGGATGAGCAGCACACCACTGCAATACGAGTTTCACCCCTGCCTTCAGTCCTGATGAAGTCTTTTCCCAGAAGAGGCCGTAGCACACCTGTAGTGTGATCCAGATGAAACCCTGGTGTGAGCAGAGGGGAGCCGCCATCTGTGCTCTCTGTTGTCTTGCTGTGGGGCTTTGACCAGAAACTGAGCGTTATTGAAAGGCAAATGGACCAGGCCCATTGCAAGGCTGCAGAAATGGTGTTTGATTGTACAGGGGCTGGCTTCTCACAGGATCATCTGGTGGGAGCTAATTGGGACTGGGTGAGAAGGAGCCAGAGAAGATGAATGAAGTTCACAGCTGGATGAAAGTGTCTACAGGGGCTTCAGAAACTGAACAGCTGAAAGGCCGAGAAAGTAATTCCTGGACTGAGAGGAATGTCAAAAATTAGCCAGCGGAGATGGGGGAGCTTTGACTTCATCTGAAAAAACACCAGGTGGCATCTCTCTAAGCGAGCCGATGGCTATCCATCTTGTAAAACTCTGATTTCAGCCTTTTGTTGTCTGTAGCCATAAACGCTAGCATGATGGAGATGGCCATTACTCCATTAGCCCATGTGCTCTTGCATGTAGAGGGCCTACTGCATTTTTGGGGGCAACTTAGAAAGCTGAACCGTGGAACAGATGTGCTTCTTACGAGCTGTCTGGGAGGTGCGATTCAGCTGCAATACGTGTCCGCTCGAGAGTTGGTGGAGCGGGTCACCACGGCCAAAAGCTCACGTGGCTTCTCCTTTGGCTCAGCTGGCAGACACGTGGAGTAGTCGAGGCAGGGGACCCACGTTGTGTCCCTCTTGCTGTTGAGGCCGTGGAACATGTCATCCTTGTGAAGTCCCATCTGGATTTGATGCATCTGCCGAGATGCATTTGAAATTGAAAGGCAAAAGGGCCCATGAGCTCATCTGTGCACCAAAATTCCCTATGTTATCTCTGTCACCCACCCCGCATGGAAACGCATGTCCCAGTTACAACAGAGTCTGTTGATGCCCAGTTGGCCTCATCAGTCATCTTCGGACCCACGGATAAAGCAATTATGGAAGACAGCCGTCCTCAGCCGTGAGGGATTGCTGAGGATTGCCTCTGCAGTGAGCCCTGGAGTTTAGTGAATAAAAGTATCGCTTCCAGAGAGGCATCCAGTCTGGATTTTAAAGACATCAAGAGATGGAGAGCCCGCTACCTCCTGTGGTAGCATGTCCCCAAATGGTTACCTGCTGGAAAAATACGTGCATGTTCTCTGGTTTCATCTACCGGCTGTAGGATCTTGTTGTGCCTTTCTCTACCAGATTAAAGAGCTCCTTAGCACTTAAACTGTGTTCACAGGGAGAAAATATCACGCGTGCTTTTGTGCATTTGTTAGTGTATTTTCCATCTCTCCTTTCTATGATCCCGAGAGTAACAAGGTGCTTATTATAGCCCCACGTGAAAAGCCTGGTTTCCTCCTAAAAGCTCGGACAAAAGGTACAGTGGAGTAGCAATGGGTGCGTATGACAGATCTGATCCTGTGCAGTGAGTCTCTTCTGTAACCGTGTACACTGGGGTTTGGGCTGAGATGCTGTCCAACTACTGACTTGAGGACAGCTGAGGCCAAAGGCTGCTCTTACGATGTACAAAGTGGAGTGGATTCAGCTCAGCTTTCATTTTAGAGGCATGGGCCACGGAGACACGGGCTGTGGAGCTGGGCTTATCCGCAGTCACCCTGGGCTGACCTCGTCTGAGTCGACTCCATAAGAGCAGCTGGAGCAGGCGTTCGCTCTGGGGAGCGTGGTGGGAGGTTAATAGATGTGGTTCGCTGGTCCAGCCTCGTGGACGGGAGGAGCCTTTCAACGAGCACAAGCACCCTTTGATCCTGGTGTGGCTGAGTCCTCCTCTGTGCTGTGGCGGGCACCCCCGGGCACTCGGCAAAGCGGGGACAGCCAGCATGCCGCAAAGGGACGTTCAAAAGCAGCCATCGCCAGGGAAGAGGCTTTTATTTGTTTTCTTCCCCAAGTGTAAGTGATAATGAAGACGCTGACATTCACACGCAGTCATCATCACCTCCTGCCGCCTTTGACGCTTCGCTGACAGCTCTGAAAATAAAATCTGCACGCGGGCGCACGCACGCATGCGATCAGAGGTGGCGATAAGGCCTCTTCACGTGGATATGAAATCTGCCGGAGCAGAGATTTCCTCTCACCTTCTTCCTCAGCCCCACTGCCAGCTTTATGTCTTCTTTCAAGCAGCCACATTTGCTCCCCGCCAGCTTCCTCCCCGATGGATGCAAATCAGGTCTGCGCTGCCCTTGTTCCTTCCAAAAATGCCTGGGAACCTGATAACGAGAGCATCCAGATGCCTCTCTGCATCCTACCTGCTGCCTGGCACCCTTAGGCTGTGAGCTCTCCAGGGCAGGGATTTACTGCTTTGATGAGTGCATCGTGTCTCTCCTGCAAAGCAGCTTGTAGGCTGGCATGTAAACAGTTGCTAACTGGGGGAGTCCTTGGTGCAAGAAACGAGCCCAGTGAAGAAATGGGGTTTTTGGAGGTGGTGGAAGAGGAAGAAGATTTCAGGAGAAACGGAATAAAAAAAATGAAGAGGTTTTCACACTCCCAGAAATTCAGGGAGCCTTAATGCCAGTAGTGAGGTTGTGGGGGGTGGTGGCAGAATAGCCTCCCAAAGGCAGGGAGGAACACAGAGCACCTGAGTCAGTGCCGAACCCTGAAATAACCAGATATTTTTAGAACGTCTCACAATTGTCAGCCTTTTGCATGCTTTTTGGGGGCTGGATGGGACCTCCCGTTCTGATTTGAGCCAAAGGTCATTGAGAACCGGGTCCGTCAGCATCTGCAGAGCGTGCCGACGCGTTGCAATGATTGCTGCCTTATCTTGTCGTGTCCTTGTTCCCCCCCGGCCTGCAGAATTGATATCCAGACTTCCTCCGGCCCTCCAGCGCCGCGGCGGTACAGGAACTGGAATCCACCGCTCCTTGGCAACCTCCCCGACGACTTCCTTCGCATCCTCCCCCAGCAGATCAGCAGCGTGCAGGTGAGGAGAGTGCTTTCAGCGTCTTAAATGCCCTGGGACCCCAGCTTCAAATCGTGGCAGGGCTACTTCTGTCCTGAAGTAGATAGACTGAGTAAAGTGCCTTGCTGTGAAGAGGTGAGGGGCAGCTGGGGATGAGGACCGTAGCCTAATTTCCCTCTCCCTTCCTATTGTATCACGTGCTGCATGCCGGCTGGTTGTCCGTGCCGCCCGAGGCAGCTGTGTTCCAACACGTTGTCCTGAGTTATTGCACTGGGGCTTCGGCATCTCGGGCTCTATTACCTTTCTGGGAATAGGAAGCTGTCAATTCACTGGGCTCAGCATGGGGAGAGGTCCTGGTGCCCTTTTCCTTCCTCGGTAATTGTATGCTTTTGCTTGTTACGGCCCTCCGAGGGTAGCTGCAAATCGGATAGATACCACTGGTGGGAGTGGATACTGCTTCCCCTCCCCGTCTCACCCCATCTCGCCCTTGCAGGCTTCCACATTGTTCTGCCTCCCTTATTTCCAGCTCAAGTGTTTTCCCTTCCCAAGAGAAAAGACGCTTTCCCCCTAATGGCCAGCTCCTGAGCCTTAGCTTGGCATCTGAGGGCCACACCGGACTTGTCCTTCCTCCCTAGCCATAAGGATCCTGTGGGCCTAGCAGTGACACCCGTGAGGTCCACCCATCTTAATTGATTGGGATTTAGTCATCTCGCAGGGTTAGGAGGGACAAAGCACGGGGGATGCACCATGTCAGCACCTCTGCTGCTGAGCGCATGCTGGGTTATGGAAAAGGCTTTCCCAGTAGAAATAATCTTCAAGCATGGTCAGAACAGAGGCCTGTTCACGAGGAGGGAAGGTGGGCAGAGCTTGGACCACTGCTACCCAACCTGCTGTTGATATGTAGAGACCTTTAATTGTTCCAACCTCTGTCCCACGAGCCAGGATTTTGCTTCGGAGAGCACTTGTGCTTATGCTTTATCGAAGCCACTGGGACTTAAACACATGCTCCCTTGCTTTGCTGAATCAGGGTGTGAAGTCAAGCAGGACTGCCACTGCGATGTGTGAGAAAAGGCTTGCACTGACTCTCCCTTCGTGTCTCATTCCTGCCCAGAGCTCGCAAAGCTGCCATCAGTCGCTGTCCTGTGAGAGCAGCCAGAGGTCCCAGGGCTCGCTGGAGCAAGAGAGGAAGTGGAAGCAGTACCTGGAGGACGAGCGCATTGCCCTCTTCCTGCAGAACGAAGAGTTCATGAAGGAGCTCCAGAGGAACCGGGATTTCCTCCTGGCCCTCGAGAGAGGTGACTCGAAGCATTTCTGTTTCTGCTTCCCGTGTGTGGGTTCCTCCTTCGCTGCCATTTCTTGCCCTTGGGCCCAAAGTCTTCGTGGCCTCACATGTGGCGTCATCTTTTCCACCAGTGAACAATGCTACCAGGCCAGGCCGACAGTGTTTTCTCACTCGTGCTGCACCAGCTCTGCATGGGGGGCGATGGTGGAGAATATAACCCAGGGAGAGCTTGATGGCAGGAGCGTTTTCCCGGGTCCTTCCGTCTTCTGCTAACCGGGTTTAGCAGCTGGTCCCTGCTCACTGGCAATTCACTGCCTCTTTCCCCACCAGCCAGTCCCTTTCACAGTTACGAGACCTACAGAAATCACTGGATAAAATCCTGTCCCCAATGAATTCAGTGGCAAGGAATTTCACTTCTGCTTTTTGCCGACCTCTTTCCAGGGAAATGAGCAAAGCACGTCATCAGCTGTGGTCTCCCCTCCTAAATGCTGGGGCTTAGCGGTGCACCATTGTCTCCCAGATGTTGAGGTTTTGGTAGTTTCCCGTTTCACCAGGGCTTTCTCTGTGCCTCTGACATAAATGATTCCCCTTGAGTTGGGTGTGTGATCAGCCCAGGTGTTAGGCAAGTACATCTCTGTAATTATGCAATCACAATCTCTGTAATTCTAAAATATTTTGGGAGTCCCTATAGCCTCTGTGTAGTGGGTTTTGATGGTTGTTAGCCAGCTGCTTGTCCGATGACACTGCAGGGAGAAGTTAAGGGGTTTTGGTGGTTTCATTTCTCTTGAAGGATGAGCCCGTCCCTTCCATTTCTTCTCTGCTCTGTCATTTTAATTCTCAACACACAAGGCTAATATATTCCCCTCACCCGTCATGGTACCTGTCACTCGAGGGTCTTGTTCTTGGTTTGCGAAAGCTCATTGTAATGCTTTAATTTAAATGCTCTTCCTCCTATCCATCAGCGGCAGAAAATCAGCTGCTCGCTTATGATTTTCATTTTGCTTCCTTTTAGCAGGATAAGATGAACGTTTTCAATTTGCCTGTCTAAGCTGTCAGCAAAGTGTTCGTGTTGTGCAAGGCTTTGGAGGGGTGAATAGAAAGCACGCAATATAGCAGGGCGAAAATGATGCAGGCCCTGTGTGATAAATTGCATTCATTGCACAACCTGACTGCAGTCCCTATCGTGCTCTCATTGATCCATCTCTCCCAGGCTGGGTTCCACAGTCTGAACCTCCGAGCAGCTCCAGACAGACAATTCTTTACTTGTAGAGGCAATCTGCCAGAGAGACGGTCCAGCTTCCTTGAATATCTGGGGTTTGCTTCTCAGGGTTGCACTCTCCTGAGGTCCTGCAGGGCCCAAATGATGTCAGCAAAGGGATAGGCGGCTTTGTGGTCAGGCACGGGAGTTGTTCAGTTCCAAATAGATATATTATTTTCAATAAATAATATCCTTTATTCTGTGTGTATGCATATATGTGTGCGTGTGTGTATACACTCATTCCAACACACGCGCGTGCATGCAGAGCAAAAATGGAAGCCTCCAAAACCTCAACATCTGGGAGATGGTGGTGCCCCCCTAAGCCCAAACATCTGGGATGGAGACCACAGCTAATAGATACTTTTGTCCATTTCCCTGGGAAGAAGTTAGCCAAAAAGCAGAGGTGAAATCCTTGCCATTGATTTCACCGAGGTGAGGATTTTATCCAGCGCTTTCTGTAGGTCTGATAACTGATTACCGGTTACTAGACCTACAGAAACATTATATACAGGCACATGCACAGAGGCTGAGTTAACTCTGCTACTGGACCCCCACCCTCCATTATAAAGAAAATGGCATGTCTCCGAAATCTAGATCTACGTTTGGATTGAACGCACACAGCCGTGTTGACCTGGAGTTTTGGTTGAGTTCGGAGGCCCTGTTTTCAGAGGTGTGAACATCCTCTTCTGTCACCACTGGGATTCATGAAGTGACAGGAAGTTACTTTTTTCAATCTTTTCTTGCTAAGAGTTTTCTTGGGTTTTTTTTAGAAGCGAAATGGCATCAAAACTGAAATACTTTTTTTTGAGCATTTATTTCTTTGCACAAGTGACCTATCAAGTTTATGCAAATTTCAAGAAAAATCCTATGAAGCCAAGTCCAGTCATAAGCTCAGTCATTAAGTCCAGCTTTTCAGATATACTGAGCATCTGCAAATTCCTGTGGGTTTCAGAGGACTTACGGGGTATGTCAGCACCTGAACAACATTATTTAGGTGTCTTTATGTGGACTTAAAAGTGGCACACCTAAGTCCAACTTTGTCTAGCCTTTATTGAGTATGTTTGCATGGTCAGATTTTATGCTATTTTTTTTTCCATTCACAAATCCAAGATCTAGTTGAAGCTGATACTCATCCGCCAACCAAATGCGATTAGTGGGTGTCATCCATGTTCCAGTTATCCATCTGTTCACTCCTAAACATGGTCCCTCAAGGGATAAGGCATGATGGCAAGACACATTAGCAAGTTTAGCTGTGCTACTGGCCAGGCTGTCCCTACACTTTGAGAAAGGACTGCAGCCTTCGGGGCTGTCAGCTCAGCTCCCCTTGAAAACAATAACCTCCAAATCTTGCCCCCAGCCGCCTTCCTCATTGGGACACCTGTTACTCTGAAGCTGTTAAATCCTGGCAGTGGATGCAGAATAAATGCGTGGTTAGAGAGAGACGAAGGGAGTGAGTGTATGAGTTCCAGATCAAATCGAGTTTCTTTTTGTTTTTCAGATCGATTGAAATACGAATCAAAAAAATCCAAGTCAAGCAGCGTTGCCGTCAGCAACAATTTCAGTTTTTCTTCTGTAATATCAGGTAATTTACCAGCCACGGGTGAGCACAGCTTCCAGTCACTGGGATCTCCCGACACCTTTTGTATTTCTAGGGCTTCAGTCACTGAGGGTCTCCATAAGGACAAGTAGCAGGAGATGAAATGTCCCCAAATATCCCAAATCCTTTCTTCTCTCAAAAGCTCTGCTATTTGTGGCCAGGGAGGGGGGAATTCTCATCCTGGAACATGATCAGCAGAGAACTTTGCTTTTGTCTTCTGTGAAATGGGTAGAAGTTATGGGTGAGCTCTTCAAAAGCCAAAGGGGCAGTGGACAGGTTTAACACCTGTAGAGAGTTAGGGGGAGTTCAGCACCCAGTTCCTGCTGGTGCTTGGAAAAGCTGCTCTGTCAGCCTCCTTTTCCATGGAGGAGACTAGTTGAACGTTATATTCTTTGCTAGAGCTCCTTGGCATGAGCCCGGTGGTGTGCAAGACAGTGGTGAATTTCTGCTAGGTTCCTTGCTTCCTCCTGGTAGAGACGGTCCCCGGTGTGCGAAGTCATAGTTGGTAGGGTCGGAAGGGATCTGAGCAGATCACCAAGTCCGACAAGTCAATAGCATCTGCCCTGTAGCAGTCTCAGCACCTACAAAGCTTGGGGTCCCACCAGATCCACTCAAAGGAGCCATCAGATCCGCTCTGTTCTAGACCTGTGGTCCAATGCATGCCTCAGGATTGGATCAGACGTCCAAGACTGAAGCCACCAACATGTTGCTACCCCTGTGCTCGAGTCTCAAAGCATCATTTTCCCCAGTCCCTAGTTCCCTCCTCTCTTACCACCCTTGGCGACTTAGCCGTGGCAGGAGAGCAGATGAAGAAGGCAGAGAACTGTGATCTAGTTCCCAAGCGTAACAAAGCAGCCCCTTGTGTAGCCCAGAGCGAAGAATCGGCCTTGGAAGGCATGACGACTGCCTCTGAGTAATCCCGATTAACCTTTGTCCTCAAATGCAGCAGCTGCCCCGAAGGACAGAATTAGTTGGTGTCTGTCAGTGTCTTCGTGTTCAGTCCGGAGGGGGGGCCGAGGCAAATGCAGCTATTCATCGGGGTTGATGTGACGGTTCTGGCCGAGCTTATGGAATTTCAATTGTGCCCAAATTTGATAAGAAGGGGAGGGCCGGGGGAAGGGAGCACAAGGACACAATTAACAAGATCTGATTCACCCGGATCAGCTGCCGGCGCTGGTACAGCTGAGACTTCTAAACTTTCTCCATGCTTAATGAGTTGGATCTGTCTGCCGGGGTGATGGGAACGATCTGGGAGTATGAGCTGGTAATGAGTGGAGGAATAAAAGGAACAGATGGGGTAAGTTGGGGTTGTACGTTGCGAGAGCAGCGAGGGTTGACTGCAGTTGCCCAACTCGGCGTGGACATTAGCCGGGGGAGACCTATTCTCCATTGCCTTGTCTCTTTTGCTCCCGTTGGCACCAGTGTAAACTTCCAGGCTGGAGTGGCAGCCGTGCCAGCCAGCCTGATGTCAGCATGCACAGGTGGTAAAGATATTGAGGACTGGTGATATGAGTCCCTGGATTGAGCTTCTCTGCTGGGATAAGTCACCCCTAGCTCTGCTGAAATCAGCAGAGGACCTGGTCTCGGTCTTGCACCTGTCTCATCAGAAGCCTGTCCTAATCTTAGTGGAAGAGAGGCCCTGTGTCTGCTGACCCCTCTTCTGCCACCCAAAACATACCCCAACTGGCATGGGGATACTCAGTCTGGCCTGTGTCATGGAGGCAGCACAGACTCGCTCTTTGTGCTTCCCCAACAGCTGCTATTTCTTCCCTCATCTCTGTTCTCTGTCTGCGCTCTCATCTCTCTGCCTTGTTCAGCCCAGGATAGCGGTGCTTGGCAGCCGCTTCGTGCCGGCGCTGGAACTGGGTCATAGTGACCTCGCCCCCCGAGTGACCAGATGTTTGCATTTCAGGTGACGTAGCTCCCTCCATAACCAGTGAGGCCAGCGGTGCTGTGTCTGAAGATGCCTTATTCAGGGACAAATTGAAACACATGGGAAAATGTGAGTTTGTTTCCAGGTTCCACGTGGGCAGATGGGAGGGTGAGCAGGGACGGCATGGCATGCGGGAGGAGGAAGCCCGGAGGAGTCTTCGGCACCAAATTGAGTGCTATGGCACTCTTTTGCCAAAGCAGAGTGTGTGTGCGCCAGCGACTGGCCCGTTATACAAAGACCTGGCTTTCTGACCTTCGTGTTTTTCAAGCCCCTCTGTGAACCAGACGGGGCCCGTGGGCAAAGCACGTTCAGCTGCAGGTGGGGCTGGGTGCTTGTCCACGCGGCAGCTTTGCACTGTGATCGGCCAGATGGCAGGTGTCTCAGGTCTGCGATACCATCTCCTAGCAGAAGCGCAGTCAGAGCCGTCGATGAAGAGGGTCCCCGGGAGTATGCAGGGGAATGCATGGTCCTGGGTGCTTCCTGAATGGCTTTTGCTCTCCAGCTCTTCCCAATCCACCCTGGAAAATGCTGGTGCCCTTAGGCAGGTAGAGGTAGCAGGGTTGGATTGAACTCTCTCCCCTTCTTCCCACCTCCCCGACTCAGGACGGATGAGTCCAGAGCTACAGAGGGAGTAGCAGGTTCGTCACTGGCAGGAGCTGAGCTGGCTAATTACTTAGACCACTCGGACCTCGTGCTTCCTGCACATTGCGACCTGTATCCGTCTGCCTTTGATGTCTGTAGCGTACAGTGCGAATCTGTGACCTGCCCGGCATTACGGTTCTTGGGAGTGGAAGCAGTGCCTTTCTAGCTTCTGTTTTAACTCCTAGGAGAGAAATGGGGAATTAATAGCCTCTCTCTTCCCGGTTTAATTCTTTCTTTCCAGCCAGCCACAGGCTGGTCTCCTGTTGCAAAATTAGATTGGCACTCATGGACTCTGACTCACAGGCTACAGTGGAACTGAGCTTCATTTAGTGCGGGGAAGATTTTGCCTTAGTCATGGGCCAAGAATGTCACGAAACTCACAGTAAGAGTCGGACTAGCCAGACCTTTTGTTTAGTAAATCAAATCCTTCCCCCCAGGGATCAAATTATAATTTTTTTTCTGGACACTGTAACTGGTACTAGGGCTTGGAAAAAGTGTATTGTTCCTGGGCTTCCTAAGGCGAAACACTAAGGCATTGTGAATCCTGCATTCAAATAAGCAGATTCATTTGGATTCGGTCACCTCCCCACCCCCCTGCCTCGCTGCCCTGCAGTATGCAAAGAGTTAATTGTCCTAAAGAGGCAGCTTTCGAGCTTGGCATCGCTCATCACCATTGTCTGGGTGGCTTATTATTGAGAGCGAACCTCTCACCTGCCGCTTTCCTTTCAGCGACACGCAAGAAGCTGTTCGAACTCGCCAGGGCTTTCTCAGAGAAGACCAAAATGAGGAAGTCAAAAAGAAAACACTTGTTGAAGCACCAGGTGTATCCTTCAGCCTGCACGGGATCCTCCCGTGTCCTGATCGCACAGAGGTCTCTGTGACCGAGTCCCAGCTCCGGGGTCAAAACTGCGATGCGCGTGGCTGGAGAGGGCTAGAGCAAGGGGGCTGCAGCCACTCTGACCGTCCACTAGACGTGGGGGGTGGGGAGAGTGATTCAGGCTAGCTGAAAGGAAGATTATGGAGGGAAAGGCCTGGTATGCAAAGAAATTAAGCCTTGAGATGGAAAAATTTGCAGGGGAGAGGGGAAAAAAATCTGCGAGACACTGCTCCAGTCTCACGTAAGCTCTGACACTGTCTCTGAGGGGCTGCACACATGATGTGTTTACACTAATGTAATTTGTACATGGGTCTCCTACAGCGAAGTATAGTACACTGGGAGACAGAGTGGACCGGTCAGCAAATTATGCCAGGGTAGCATCTTGCAGAAGGTGCTATTGCAGAGCCTCACTATAGGGCGGAAAGGGAGCAGGGAACAGCCTGTTTTTCTTGGGCAAATACTGTGCCAGGATAAACTTTGGGCAGATGGCGCCTACATCAATATAACCGCTAAATAGTTTTATCCCTTGGTGTGTTTTCCCCAGAGCAATCGAACACCAATTAGAATAAGTTACATAAATGTAGGATTTCTCTGTTAGTCTGCTCCTTTTTTCTCCGCTGGTGTAAAATGCATCATGTGTCCAGGCTCTAAGATTGGCAGGGGTGGAGATGGATCTGCTGTTGAGGAGGGGAATAACAGTGGCTGTAACCAGAAGGCATGTACTTGCAAGTCTCACATCTCAACCTGTAACTGCACCAAGTGTATTGACGTTAGGGATTTGTGGGACTCCGGACCCTCTCGAATCTTGGCTTGTTTGGATCTGGGGTCTGGACTGAGCCTGTTTTAAATGGAGCGACTTGTCCTCGATCCCTTAAAACTGTGGTGTCTGGCCAGCATTTCCCTGGAGGCAAGTTAATCCCAGCAGCCTGCGTGCATTGGATCGTTGTCATGCCAGTCTTGGCAAGAGGAGCCCAGAAAGCAAAGGGCAGCTCTTCCTTTTGTCCTGTCTCCTTTGCCTTTGCCTTTCTCTCTTAGTTGGCATGCAGGGGCTCAGAGGAGACCAGGGGGGGAAGGCTCTGCTTCCCTGTGTACACGGGAAGTAATACCATTCAAAGCATGGTGGTGGAGAAACACTGTCATTGCATCGACTCTGGCTATATAAGCCAGATCTTGGACAGCACATGAGCGAACTGTAATGGGAAACATACCTTGGGAACCACACTGGAGTTAACAGTGATGGGCTGCCTGCAAGGGTATACTTTGCTATGCTGTTGCGGTGGCCCAGGCCGTCGGGCATTTTTCTTTAACAGAGCCTGCAGGCTGGGGACCGGGGCATCCACAGCTAATCTTCTCGATGATGTGGAAGGACACTCGTGCGGTAAGGAAATGCCCTGTTTCTGCCAGAAGTGAGTCATGGGCTGACTCACCCTCTCTGTTGTTGTGCGTATGGCTGGGTTGGACTCTGAATCGCGTGGGTCTGAGTGTCAGAAATGGAGTATCCTCCCCAGAGAGGTGTCTTCCTGCCTGCCATGACCTCAGCCATGTGGCGTTGCAGTTTCCTTGAGCCACGTTGGGCTGCACCATCTGGGTGACCGCAGCAGATTGAAAGAGGAAAGCTGCTGCCCAAGGCATGGAGGAGCTTTCCCAAGCCAGGGGAAAGAGGAGGAGGTCCTCCTCTGTTTTGAATGATACTTCTCTGCTTTCTCCACACTTCTGCTACTTGAATGGATAACGGGTGCTTCCTTGTCCAGCCCCCATGAAAACATAGGCATGAAAATAGCTGGCTGGGAAAGTGGTTTCCTGTTTGGGAAACTTCCTGAGATTCCAGATAGGGAGAAGAACAAGAGATTGATGCATCCCAGGAGCCAGGCGGTTGAGGCATTTGTATGGGACAGGAGAGGTCTAGGTTCAGGGCAGTGTCCTGAATCAGGGAGAGCTGGGACTTGAACCAGCTTGTACTTGAATCGGCTCCTTCTTCTGTTCCCTTCCCCGGTGAGCTCCAGGTATCCAGCCCACCCCCTTGTAGCAAACTGGGGCTCCTTCTCAGAGGACCGGTGACCACAAAGCAGAGGGCAAGGAGCACTCTCTCAGCTTGACTGGGCAAAGCTGGTGGTACCTCTCAACAAAGTGGACCGCTGTGATGAAAGGGGCTGGGTTGACAGCTCTGGGATTTGAAGTCCTTTATTAGCCTGCATGACAGTAACACCCGACCATGACATGACATCCAACTTGCTTAGGCGCAGGGGAAGAGTCTCCTTGGGGTGTGACGAGAAAGTTTCTCTCATGCTTTTCAGATGAAGACTTCCAAGCAAGGCGGCAGCAGCTACACGAGGAACAGGAAACACCGAAAGAAGGGCAGTAAGTGGTAAGAGCTGCCTTGAAGCCAAGTGCCACTCATTACAGAAATTGGCTGGGCTATGCTAGGCTACCCGCAATGAGTTCCAGGCTTGGTTGGGCGCCTGGAGCCGACAGACAAAGCACATGCCTCGGAGCAGCCAAATAATCCATTGCAGCTGCTGAGAATCAACAAGGCTTTTTGTGCCATGTGAGTCCTGTATTAAGGGCAGAAGTTGGGCTCGGTGCATAGAGCCTGGTGCAGCACACCTGCATGCCAGTGGATGTCAGCCACAGGGCTTAGCCCTCTGTTGCTTCATTGCATACCTGCCTGTCTCCCTTAACAGCTGCTAGGTGGAGAGCAGCAGGGCTGCAGCCCCTAAATAGAGTCGCTTTGGGATTAAGTCTCCATTCTGCATGAGCTCTGAGGGCAGGGCTCGAGTAAAAGGTGCCATACTCACGGCCCCACAGAGGAGAAGTCCACACCAGTGCAAATAGGTTGGTGGAAGGGTCTTCTCTATGGGTGAGAGGGGAGTTAAGTCCTTAGGGGCAATTAGGGTTTTTCTCTTGGCTGAGGCTGCGAATGAGGCATCCAGTGCAACGCAGACATTTTTTTTTTTTTTTTTTTCCAATGCGAATCCTGCACTGGGAGGCCCACAAAACGCATGGTACTCAGGACACCCAGCGGATGAGGCTTGATGGAGATGAGGAAATGCCCAGTCCACAGAGATCTCCTGTTTCCTGTTGCAACTGGGTGTGCAAGCATTTGTATTCCAGTTTGCAAGGAAGGCTGCCAGGCCAAGTCTGCCCTGCTCTTTGTCTTCCATTGAGAGTGTGTGTGTGGGTGGGCTTGGCATAAAGTTACGGATGAAAACACGCCATGTATCCATGCCTGCCCATTCACACGCATCAAGCTCAGTGATTATTTATGGCTCGGTTTAACAGCATCCACTGCAGAGTGACAGGCTTGATGGCAACAGCCATGCATGAAGCTGCTGTGACTAAGCGTGCTTTTCCCCCTTCTGTCTTCTCTTTTCTAGATCCCAGATCCATTACCCGAATCGGGCTTTATGGCTGGAAGAGAACTTATCAAAGGCTTAATAAGAAGATGACTGAACAGGAGAAAAAAAGCAGTCCCTTGGCTGTTTTTTCTTCTCCCCTGCTGCTGTACTCTTTTGAAGTACAAGTATTAAAATGAGGCACAATGTTTTCTGACCAGGGGTTTGAAAACACCTTTTCCTCTTTAGCAAATCCAGCCAAAAATCAGCAGCTGATCTGAATTTTTCTCGATCACTGCTGTGAAGATAGTGGATGTCAAGCTTATGGGAGTAATGGTTGACTCCTCACGCTCTGATACATGTGCTGTTCTGATATGAATTCAAAACAACAATAATAATAATAATGATGATGCACCCAAACCTGAGACCTGGCTCAAGCATTTTTAAACATATCTCCGTAGCAGTGTAACCTTACTCTACGCACACGAAAAAAGACCTACAAAATGTTGTTGTTTGCCGCTAAGGGTAATGAGATGGGATTCAGGTCAGGTATTGGTCGATATGAATTCTCTTTTTAAAAGAAAAGGCCTTCTTTTTATTATTATTATTTTTTTTTTTATTTTTATTTTTTTTACAGACATTTTACTTTGGATGCAACCTTTTGCCTCAGGCATTGATCAAAACTGCCTTGAAACATGCACAAAGCTGGGACTGTGTTTTTCCGTCCCATCGACAACCTTTCCTTGCTTTGTGTTGCTGCTCCTATGATATTATGGTACCATTCCCGAGCTGGAATGAAGGGTGGATTTTGGAGCAGTTTCCTTGTCACGGCTGATCTCTCAACTAGAATGCATCTCATGAGGTCTTGTTTGGATTGGGGTAACGTTCGTGCCAGCTGGCTTCTCCCTCGGCAGCAGAAAGTACACTTGATGAGCATGGTTTTCGATGTGTGTAGATGGGGCCTTGTTTGATATTTTTTTTTTTCCCCCCCTGAGCTTGTTCATCACAAGCCAAATCCTGTTGAATGGGCAGTTTTGCTGTCGGGATCCGGATTTGGCCTCGAGTGAGATGCAAATGGCTCCTCGCCCCTGGGTCCCACCTGGTCCTGGCACATCTGTGCAGAGACTTGGCCAGGAGTTTTCAGAGCATGAGAAGGTGTGGCTGGCTTGGAGTTTATTGGCTTCTTTGGAGGGAACTTGCAATCCCATGTCACAGTCGAGTGCTGTGAAGGACTGGAAAAGCAGCACTAAGATCATTTTAGCTGAAGGGGCAACTGTCAGGCCAAAATAATCCTCGTGCGTTCGAACCACAGGGTCGATTGTTTAGTCCGAAATAGCTCCCACGAGCCAGTTTTGTCCCTCTCCAGCAATATTGTCTATTCTCAGCCTGGACAGTGAAAAGAAAGCAGTCAAGTTTCTCTTTCTGGCTCTCGTGCACTAGCACAAATGTTACGACATTTGGGTTGCAAATGGAGCAGGAGGACGAAGAAATCCAAGCAATCAGACAAACAAAAAGCTGTTTTCATTGCTTTTCTATTGGGCTTTGTAACAAAAGCCCAGGCTGTGGGCTTTCAGTCTCCCTTTGAAAATCTGCTTCAGAATCTGTAGGCCTTTGAAGCGTGTGCCAAGTTAGATGCTTTTTAAAAGTTGCTGAGCATGAGGATTCTTGCTCCATGCACCTGGTGCTCAATCAGCCTATCCTCTTGCTGCCTGCAGACTTAGAAAAACGAAGGTGGGAGAGGGATGTTTGGGAGATGCCATTAAGGCCAACTCATGCCCTTGGCAGGGAAGAGCATGCACCAACTCATGCCCTTGGTGGGGAAGAGCATGCACACACGCACACATGTACATGTGCACACACACATGCACACACTTGCGTCAGTCTCTTGAGTGACGCATCCTTGTGGTGTGGGACGTTATTTGGACGCTTCCTTAGGATCTCAGCTGTCTTGGGTACATGGTTTCTGTGGGCTCCTGTTCTGAACCTGAGCCGCTTGGAACAGTACGGTTCACTCAGGCATGATTTAAGTCACAAAGTGGGCAGCCGTTGTGGCCCTCCACCAATTCTTAGGGCCCTCAGGCTCTTCCAGCGAAGAGCCGGGTCTTGGCACCTTCACCGTTTTCTTTTTAAAGGCCAGAGAGAGGCGCATCAATGAGTCCTTTGGTAAAATCCCCTGAATGGAAGGAGAAACATTCCCCCTCCAAGGCTAGAACAGCTCCAGATGATGTCAAGCTCACTTAGACGAGACTCCAGTGGTTTGGAGTCTGCTGGGCTGTGCAGGATGTGAGGTTCCAGGAACGTCCTTTGCAGGCTTTTAAGGGAAAGGATGTGACTAAGGTGCCAGATGCCCGCAGCTCCCTGCGAAATCAGCAGGCTCTGCAGTGCCGAGTGCCATTCGGGATAAAGTCCCACGTTTGGGAAGTGTGTGTCCATGCGTGTGCACATGGGTTCGCACGTGCAAATTACTGTGTGAGAAGCTGGAACCGCACCACTGGAAATAAAATGGCTTTTGGAACGGGGAGAGACTTTTATATATTCCCCAGCCTGGAATTGTTCCTTTTTTCCTTTTTCCTATCCTCAGTTGGCTCCCTGTTTAATAAGCGTTTGCCTGTTCCTCTCTCCCAATCCAAAGCAGCTCTGCCTATTTGGAAGAGAACCAAGCTTGGAATTAAATCAGCTTGTAAACGTTCCAGCGCCTCTTGGCTACCGAGGGCTTAACTCTGAGCTAAGTTTCCATCAATGCGAAAGGCATGAACAGATGATCAAACAGAAGCTCAGGCTCTTGCTGGTAGGAAACTTTACAGCCTGTCCCAAGAGAGGAGCATTTTTCTTAGGCAGGCTGGTCTCCGAGCAGTGCACTGCTTCAGGGATGTGAGGAAGGGGAGATAACAAAGCACCTGTCCCTCCGGACATGTGTTGTATGTTTACAACCAGCGCGGGTGCTCAATGTAGTGCAAGGGCCCCTGAAGTCTTCTCCCGGCAGAGCGTCCCTTGTCGTCTTGTGCAATCGGGTTGTATAACAGCCGGGCTGCAAGGAGTCATGGTAACTAGCATGACGTTCAACATGATTTAGCAATCTGTAGACAAGGACAAGTCAGCTTACTGTCACATCATCTAATCACAGGTAATGCTACCCAAAGCATGGGATTAACCACAGCGAGGTGGTAAACACAGTTCGTTCCTGCCTAGACTGACCGCTAGGACATCAAGTTCATGTATGCATCTCCTTCGAGTCCTGTTCTCAGCATACCCTTCATGTTGCCATGGATAAAAGACCAGAGGCAGCTGGCTGCCCCCTCCTCCCTCTCGTTGGGCTGATCTCAAGCTGTCTTCATTATGGCTACAAGCTACTGAGCATCCTTTACTCCCTTCAAAGCCAACTGGGAGGCTCTTACATTGCAGGACATCCCATCCCGAGGTCTGATTCCCCATAGACCCAAAGTGTAGATATTAAAAAAAAAAAGCCAAGCAGCGTAGAGAGCATTTAGTGGGTTTAAGAGATTGATTCACTAAAGCGAATGGGAGAGGACTAAGGTCGTTACACAGCATGCTTTAATTGTGTACAATGGGTGTCCGGCTTCGAGTGAGATGTAAAGGCGCTTTGTCGGCACATGTTGCTCAACATGTGCTAGCTCCTACGAGTTCTTCATACGCACGGTTCAGGAACGGGTTAGTGACCTGCGGTCCACAGACCATACCTGCCCCGCCAACTGATTGCATCTGGCCAAAGCAGCCAGAACATCGGCTGCAATTTGGCAGCAGGGGATGTTGACGACACCGCGGCAAGGGGGGGGGAACGTCGGACCTAGCTCCATTAATTCAGCTCATCGCTCCTAAAAGTTTGCTGATCTCTGCTTTAAGGCACACTGCCTTGTCTGTGTCTCCGTAGGATGTGTCAGCTAATCCACTCTAACAGCAAACCGTACAAGCTCCTACTTTAGACAAAGCCGTTCTGAACGACATAACCTGGTAGCCATTTCAAAACGTCCAGGGGGTATAAAGTATTGCCATAGCAGAAGAAGAGTGATTCTCCCCCTCTCCTTTTTTAAAATTCAGGTATAACAAATGGAAAGGCTGCTATGAAAGGCTTGAAAGCCAAAACGCATTTCTTCTATAACGATGTACAATACTCAGTGACCTTTGTATTGCTTCTCTACAAAACGAACAAAAACCCTCCCCAAAATAAAACAAAAAAGACTTCTGTGACGTTTGTGAGTGTTGCTATTTTAGAATTTATTTCCATAAGTGATTTTTTTTTTCTTAAAGATGTTTAATAGTAATTCATATAATAAAGTCACGTTGTACTCTTAATGCTTTTGGTTTTCTTTGCCTTTGATTTTTTTTTCTTTCCTCTTTTTTTTACCAGCAAAGGTGAACCAGAGAAATCAAAACTATGAGTGAAGTCAGTTTTCTCTTCGTTCTAGTTTCAGGCACTGTTCTTAAAGGTTAATCTGGTAGAGATTATTACTTCCTTTCAAACAGCGAGGCTCTTGCAATCCTTCGTATGTCCACTTTCCACCTCGGGGCTTCGCGGAAGCAGAAGGGAGGACTTCTGTAAACAGCCTGGCTGCTGCAGAAGAGCCCTAAAAAGGCTCTTTCAATGACATTTGAATGAGTGTCGGTCAGAAAATGGGCTTTTTTTTCCTTCAGGAAAAAAAGGGCTAATCTCCCAGGACACACCTCAGTTTCCTCTTGGTCTTACAGACTACACTTGGTGTAGAGCAGGGGTTGGCAATGGTTTTGGACAGAGTGCCAAAAACCTGCAAACTCGGACCTGCGTGTCCAAGGGGCCAGGGGCAGATGGCAGGGGAGCTGCGAGGGGCCTGATCCTTGTTGTGGTGGCGCAGCCCTGGCCCCTTGCCCGCCGTCTGCCCCAAGGTGCGCAGGCCAAGCAAAATGCCCGTGGCAGGGGTTGCCTACCCCTGGTGTAGAGATACCTGAATAACTGGGTTACCAGAAGCAGTTTAAGTACAGCAACACAATGCTCAGAAGGGACCTAATTTGGCCTGCAGCCCATAGCGTAGGCCAACCTTTGGGAAGGGAAAGAGGAGAAATGGAGCCTGTCCCATAGAGAACGGGGCCACGAGGGGTTGTGACACCCTTTCCGAATCAAAATGGCCCAGCTGGCCTGGAGTGCTGGCCAGACCAGGGTTTTTTCCCCTTCAAAAGCAGGCACCTTTTGTGGGGGGGGGGGAGAAAAATGGTTTTGTGTAAA